AAACGAACATCATTGTATTTACAAACTTAGCACACGCACAGGAGCCAAGAGTTTTGTCCTCTTGGTGGGCTATCATTGCACTAACCTTCTTTTCTATATTCACAATCATCCATCATTGTTTGCACCTCAGATAATTCTCGGGGAAATACCTTCCACTGACCATGTGCAGCCATGTTTAACTCTTCCCTGCATCCAGTATCACGGGGACAGATCACTCTCAAATGGTTGTTAAATCTCAGGTGTGGCCATTTATTGCGTATTAGATCTCTCAGTCTACCAATAACATCATCATTCAAGACATCAAAGGTTTTACCCAAATCAGTCTTTAATTGTGTTTGGATGACCAGTGATTTGCTACTCTGACCACGTGGTTTTTGGACCATTACTACCACAGGCGTTCCTTTTATTTCACAGTGGAATCCATCTTTCCATTCCTTCTTTACATATTTGTGTATCATGCACACAAATTCACTCATAAGCCTCTTTGGAAACACCCATGGAAATGCCAGTTTGGTTTCAAACACGGGCATGAAGTTAACCGGTAATTTCATTGTTGATGTTAGAAACATTGGGAATCTGACAACTCTGGGAGGAGCTTCATGATCCTCGAGTACATGAAGAAATGATTCATTGTTGCCTTCTGGAGATACGTCATAACAGATACCAAAACCTACTAACACATCAAGCACCAACTTTACAGCATCCTCATCAAGTTCCAAATGATTGATGATGCAATCCCGTATTACATCTTCAGATAAAATAGCTTTCTGTGTGAATGCTTGCCGTACCACACCAAATGTAATGTCTCGATACCCATGTGGAAAGTTGTTTTGGTTCAATAAATCTTTCTGGTCTTTGCCAAGGAATGTTTGAAGGATATCAGTTAAAAAATCGAGGTTATGAAAGATGTACTCGTTGAGGCTATATATTTTGGAGTAATACTGAACTACACCAACTCTCCTCATATATTCAATTGCATCATCCACTTCATGTGTTTTCAGTCCAGATTTCTTTCCAATAGCTTCAAATTCTGAATAGGTCAATCGAACTCTTGTCAGTGGATCATGATCCTCTTTCTTGTTCACTAATAACTTCTCAAATCTTAACATTTTTGTGATAGATGGAGGCTTGTTGTCTTTGAAAAGAGATTGATCATCAATAGGAAGAAGGCGGTTATCTGGATTTTGAACTGTATCGAGCAGCTGCTGTTCACAATACTTAATGGCAGATTTGCCTTCAAAACCACTGGTGGTATACTGATTATGTAATACTTTACACGGAGATGTAAAGACCAAGTAATCTCCTTTCAATTGACTCTTCATTTCATTAAACATTTTCTTTAGTCTTTCTTCAATAAAAGAAGCATGCTCTAAAACTTGCTGTTCAGTCAATCTGTCGCCATGGGTACCAATGATATTAATGATAAATTCACCACCAATGCACGTGAAAATGTCTTTGATCCAGGATGCAATGTGAAGCTGAAATGTCTCATCTGTGATTGGATAGTATTGCTCGAGATTCACAATGATGGTATACAAAGCGTTTGGTACATAGAATAATTGGTATACAGATTGAAAGTTGGTGGTACCACTGCAATCTGTCACGGAAATATCTATATCATCAGCTATTGGCCAGATAACACTATCCATGAAAGCTACTCCATTATATCCAAGCTGAATCTTTCCAAAGCTTTCTTCATTTGACCACTTGTCAACATCAGTCTCATTATTATTAACTTTGTCATCAGTGTCTTTAAACATTCCAGGTTGTCGGACACTATTACTAAGAAGGTTCTTGAGAAGCGTGCTTTTACCTCCTCCCTGGGAACCAATGAAGAACATCTTCCCTCTTTTGATTTTTGACAAATCTGGTGGTTCGGGTCTATTCTCTGCCTGTTGAATGTGACCTAATATTTCTGTCAGTGGTTTAGTCTTGTCTACCGTCTCAGGAATATCCCGTAAGAGATTTCCCCCTACAAGGATTTGTGCCTTTGGGGCCTCCATGTCAGATGTGGCCTTTCGGCTTTCAAGTTCTGCCAGACCCTCGGGTAGGAAATACAATTGGTTGTCTGATACATTGACTTTCTGAAGATTCTCCATATTTTGAATTGTTCTGGGAACTGAACGGAGACGGTTGTCACTAACATCAAATGTGTGGATTTTACTACAATGTTCTTCTGGGGTTGGTATTTTATTTGATATGGTGTGGATTCGGTTTCCTTTTGCAAGAAATACTTCAAGATTATCATGCTGAAAAACAGCAGCTGGCACAACAACCAAGTCGTTGTTTTCAACACTTAACACTTTCAAATTCTGTAGACTGAGAACTTCAGGTACGGCTTCCAATTGATTTCCGCCCACATCTAGATGCACTAGGTTCGGACTCTGTAAACACTCTATTGGAACGCGAACTATCTTGTTGTTACTCAGGTTAACTGTTTTGAGATTCTCCATTACATCAACATCATCACCGACATTTTTAACATCAGAAATTTCATTTCCTGACAGATCCAATATTTCAAGACATTTAGAGTCACTCAACTGGTCAGGAAATTTTGTTATCTTGTTATTGGAGAGCTTCATTTCCTTTAACTGTTCACAAGAGACAGTGGATGGTAAACTCTCGATCTTGTTGTCTTCGGCATCAACTATTTCAAGACAGTTCATGTTCACCAGTTCCGTTGGAAGTGACTCCAGATTATTGCCTTTTAGAGAGATTTTCTTCAGTTTGACCATCTTCTTGAAGTTGATATTCGACACATCTGTCAGCTTATTGCCATCTAGATGGAGTACTTCCAGGTATGGTTGAGCAAGAGACACGGGCAGAATTTCAATCTCATTGTAACGTACTGACAAATAGCCTAATTTCATCTTATTGAAATGGACTACTGTAACATCTCCAAGAGAGTTATGGTCCAAATTAAAATGCTTCAGACTGCGTAACACAAGTACGGGGAGCGTTTTGAGTTCGTTAATTTGTAGGAGACAGTGTTGTAACTGTGTTAAGTTATTAATAGTGCTTGGTATGCATTTGATATTGTTTCCCTCCACATTCAGATGTGTGAGTCGGTTCATAAGGCAGATTGTTTCAAGTATACCTTCCTCTTGCTCGCTGATGTCAATATCCAGGTGGTTGTTGCTAATATCTAGATATTCAACGCTTTTCAGAAGATTTCCCAAGTTGTGTGGGATAGATAGGCTGACACTACTATCAAGTGAACACATGCTTCCAAGTTTTAGAGTTTTCAGCTTTGGTTGTCCTGTCAGTATTCTTTCCTCCACAACAGTGACTCCATTTTTACTCCAATCAAGACTGAACAATTGTACACGGTTGATGGTTTCCGGGATGTGCACAAGCATGTTGCTCGCAACAAGGAGATGTTTTAGTCTAGGTAATGTGAACAGCTCATCTGATAGACTACGGAATTTGTTCTCACTGACATCGAGGTGATGAAGATACTTTGCACTCTCAATGCCGAATATGTCCTCAGTCTGTTGCCCTTCAGTTTTAAAGTGTTGAGATGTGTAAGCTCAAATAGCTCATATGGAACCCACGAAATGTTATTGTAGCTAAGATCGATGCATCTCAAGTGTCTCATTAGTTGAATGTCCTGGTGAATCGTGTTTATCCTATTATGTGTCAATTTTAACGTCTTAATGTTGCTGTCATCGTCTTCGAATAGTTCATCGGGTATTGCCTGTAGTCCTTTGTTATTAACTTCATACTTTGGACTTGGTTCGTCAACGTTTTTCTTGTTTTTAGATGCTGCACTGCCCATATTTGTTGCACGGATTATGTTGATATTGAGAACTCGGAGTTATCTGCATCCTGTCATTAAAATATAATTACAACATTATGTGTGTGAATTAATTGGTTTGAGGACATACATATTTCAATATGGGTAGTACACAAATTATTGATTTTGATTTCATTGGACTTCTTATTAATTCACATCAAAATAATGTTCAAACAAATAATGAACATCAAAACAGTAATATAAGTGTATTTAAGTGTCTAAATAATTTGAGTTTAAGCCTAAAATAACATTCATTAAGTTTTAGCACAATGTGGATTGGCTCCATGAAAATTTAACTGCCGAACAACTAAGTTATTCAGGAACAGAAATGTAATTATTCATTGTATCAACATGAAACACGGCAACTACAGACACACTGTACCCAGGGACTTTTGTTACCCAGTAACAAGATCAAAATTGCATGGTGTAATGAGATATTTATCCCGTTCAATGGCGATCAGTTAAATGACGCAATTTGATTATGTTCACTGGACTAGATTGATGGCGTATGAACAGGTGTTATTTTGTAACATGGCACAATTTTAACGCAGGATAGCATAGATACACATGTACTTATAACGCAGTCTGTAGTTGATCATACATAGATTATATGTTAATTTTAATTATGTAATCCAAATTCACCTCTGATACGACGCAGGGGGAAGACAATAAATAGTATACACGTTAGTGTTAGTCGACGCCATGCACCCGTTCCTTCAACGTACTACACAGGGCCCAACACGGAGCCTCCGCCTCGAATATGGGTCGGTCTGTGCAAAATTATTGAAATCATTCCCAAAGTCTAATCAGTGTGCAGTTCTTACATCAGACCTTTGGGTGTGAATATTATGCACGTGATCAAATATAGATGCAACTTTCTCATTTCCAAAATGGCAACCGAACTCAGTGTGTACGAAACTTCGTTCACTCACAAAAACTGGAGCGACGAAGAGACAACAGCTTTACTGGGTATATGGAAAGACAGCGAAATCTTCAACAGAACAAAATGCATACCAGGATATGCAAGCTAAATGAGAAGTGATGTGAATTTTCGAAACAGCGCGGCTTAACAAGGGTCACCGACTGATGGCGCACCTTAGCCGGTGCTAAGGACTGGCCCTCCATGTGTGTGTGGACGCCATTGTAACTAGCCAAAATGCAAACAAGTGAGATAAGCTTAAATAATCTTAGCCCGTACTTCGTGTAGCATGAACACTAGTATTATAATGAGAGTATTTCCTTTGGGCGGAGCTACGTCACAGAACGTTCTACCTTGCTAAATCGCGCAACGCTTTACCATGTATGGGCTCTGTGTAAGCTGCTATGGAACTCCGGTCGAAGGCCGGTAAAAACAGCCAAGTCGAAACAACAGCACAAACTCAACTTTGAGCTAAT